ACGGGACCGTCCCCTGTTGGGGCGCTAAAAGCAGGACCGTATAATGCCGCGGCGATGAGAACGTTCGTCCACGACTGTCCTCTGCCGCGGCGGTGGGAGCGTGCGGGACTGTCCGCTGCTGCAGCGATGAGAACATGCAGGACCGTGCTCTGCGGCGTCGCGGCGCCGCCTGTCGGGCGCCGGCGCCAGGCCGGCCGGGTCATCCTCTGATCAGGATGACATGCCGCCGTGAGCCGGTGAGTGGTCGGTTAACTGGCGCCGATCGATGGAGCGCCGCAGCCCGGTTTGCGGTCCGAGGCGCCTCAAGGTCGGATGCGCCACAACGCACATGCCTAGAGCTTTGCCGAGGGCGAGCGCCGTATCGCGCTCACTGGGGAGCATGGGGCGGCCGTAGAAATGTGTGGGAAACGCGCGCCTAGTCAGATATGTCGCATTGCTGAGACGTGCAGTGCATCACACTATATGTGCGAAAACTGGATGTCGGGGAGCGGAGCTATGGCCCACTCATTTTGTCGAAGCTGTTGAAATGCTCACGCTCCTGCGTTGCGAGAATTGCTGCGTCACAGACTCATGCGTAACTTGGTATAACGCGTCACATGGTCTCATGTGTAACTTGGTCTCATCCGTCACAAGATCTGACGCGCCATATCATGTTATGTTTCGCGGGGTTTGATGTGTCACGTGGTTCAACGCATGTCATGGTCTGATGTGCCCCGTGGCCGGAGCCGGCCCCACTCCGGAGCCGGCTCCGACCACTCCTGCAGAGGAACACAAGTGGGCCGAGTTGATGAAATTGCGTGGTGTGTCAGAGGTGTCATCATCCAGCTGACCGTCCGGGACATCCGTGGTGTTTGAGCTAGCCGTGGTGTTCGTTTGTGCTCAGACCACAGCTCTATCTGCCGTCCCCGACAACGCTATCGACCGCGTCACCGCACCTGCGTCCGTAACGAGCACGCCCTGGCGCGACCCACTGCCGGGGCCGTGCCACGTGTTGCGCCGACGCCGCGGGCGCATCCCGCACGGTCCGCGGCCGACCCCAGCAAAACGCCGCCGGCCGTTCAGGAAATGTCAAGCTGCCGACGCCGCATCGAGGACGCCGGCGTCAGGCCGAGGAGCATCAGGGGTCGGAAACATCGATGGGTTCTTTCGCGACTGAAGATCAGATGTGCCCCACTCTTCTAAATTTTGGGGTCGGCTTATGGTCGCTAGGCATCACTGCGTCAGGAATTCATCCGAAATATTGACTGTTGACGTGCCGTACGCCTATTCCGTTTCGCTTTTCTATGATTTTCAGAAAGTTTCACTTTTGTTCCAAGGACCTGGCTCGTGCGCATGATTCAGTAGTGATGTTTTGTAGGAGGAAGTGGGATCAAAAGTGGAACCAGGGAGTTTTCAGTCGTTTGGTGATGAACACTCCACGTTACTTGGAAGACGCCCAGTCAGCATATAAGTCGAATTGCATATGAGTTCGCACAGGCACATTCGTCATTTCCTCTTCAATAGCCACCATTTAAGGCGCACAGATGAGGCGCCTCAGACGGCAGCCAGGCCGTTTCTCTAATCTCTGTCCGCGGCTGGAGTCATCACGCTATTTTGGACACGCCTCGAATCTGAGCCCCAAATCCCACCTTCAACTGAGCACTGGACAAAAGGCCTCCTCAAGCATGATTGCAGACGTCCTTTTCTGGGATCGGCCACTATTTTTGACGGCGTGACCGGAGGAGCAGATCGACTCGCCTGGTTAGTGGTCGTCTGGATTTGAGCTGGTTTTCATTGGCGATCGACACGGCGCGCCTCCCGAGACATCACCGTTACGACTGGAAGCGCAGAGTTCTGGGCAGTAGACATTGCCATCAGAAAGGTGTAGACTGCAAAGGAAAAGCGTCCAGCACAAGTTTGATGAGCATTAGTGAAAGAATCTCCTGAAGAAGGTCTAACGACGGTGATGAAGCCTGCCCGTGGTGGGACGCAAACATGTTCTGTCTGGTGCTGCACATGAAGGCTTGTATTTCAAGCCGACATATTCCTGTCACCGATGCGCGCGGACCCTCTGCGCCCCTCTCATGAGGGATCAGGAATTTATATTTCCCTGATGTGAGATACAATTACTTATCAATGTGCCATGATTGTGTTTGGGCAATCGAAAGGAGTCCTGATTATCGAACAAGCAGTGTCCGAGCGCTTGATAAGCCACTTTAGACAGTACTGGCTGTGTGACATAGCGCACGTTATCTAAATCTCAAAAGCAGCGACCGCGGCTCCGTGACTCCGCCAAACCATTAGTTGCCCAGCACCAAGCTGGCCTGCACCGCGGCAGGACGCAGCTACTATTGATCTCCGTCTGGTCGTCCTCGTCACATCCGTATACTTCGACTTAGAGGAAGGCCATAATGAAGACGCACAAAGTGTGAGCTAACGCCTTCCAGGAAGAGCAGCCGAGACGCGCCGTAGAGCGAAGTTTCCTGCTCTCGGTCCCGGTCTGAGCGACGGAGCCGGCCTTCAAGGAAAAGCAATGGCCGGAAGACAACCAACACCGAGCGGACGAGACGGTAGCAAGAGAAGGACAAGAACACGACGTAGCTCGTGGTGGTCTTCCACTCAGGTGAGTGACAGAGATCGCGAAAGTCTCCTTGCTGCGCGTCGCCGTCGGTCCCGGGCACACGATTCCGTGTTACATAGGAGGAGTGACGTTACACCGGTCCCCTCCCCCCGGGTATTTATGCTAAATCCACGGGGGGGGGGGGGCGAGGTGATCAAACCTGTACTAGAACTGAGCACGAAAAGGGCTTGATCTATTTCGCATGCAAGAGGTCAAATGGCACCGACCATAGGGGGCTTGAAAAGAGGCTTGAAAAGCGACTTGGCAGGACTGGGAGAGTGGTGGGGGAGGAGGGAGGGGAGGGGAGAGAGCCTACAGGCACCACACTGCCGGCCAAGGACACTGTACTACCGCACTGATCTCTTTAGCACCGTGGACACGACGTTTGGTTGGCCGGCTTTGTCATCAGGTGCAGATACTGTGTGTGCCAATGCGTGTGCGTGTGCGTGTGTCGTGAACACGTGTTTCTTAATAGGGGGGGAAGTGCGGTGCAGCCAATCAAACCACGCATCTGTAGGTGTTCGAGCGACCAGCGCGGATGTAGATTCCTTCTCGGACAATGTGAAACCCGCAACCCGCAGCCCACCGCCCGTGCGTGAGGTCGAGGGCGGCGTGGGGGTGGGCTGGGGAGAGAGAAGACGCGGTCACACCGTGGTCTTCGCCTACAGCTGCATTCACACTACGCTGTACATTTACGTAACACTGCTACGCGGAGTCTGTACCTATTCCGTAAGTCGTTCCGACATGCTGACGTCACGGCCGAGAACGGCAAGTGGCTTCGTCTCGCCTCCACTGTACGCGAGACGCACACGTCTGCCCGGACACGCTGGCGCTCGTCGACGATTCTTAAAATATATGCGCAGATAATGCGCATGCAATTAGTTATATATATATATATATATATATATATATATATATATAAACGTGTGTGTGTGGGTGTGGGTGTGGGTGTGTGTGTGTGTGTGTGTGTGTGTGTGTGTGTGTGTGTGTGTGTGTGTGTGTGTGTGTGTGTGTGTGTGTGTGTGTGTGTGTGTGTGTGTGTGTGTGTGTGTGTGTGTGTGTATGTGTGTGTGTGTGTGTGTGTGTGTGTGTGTGGGCAACGCAAACGACCTCTTATATATCACTCACTATTTAATCACATTGCTTACATAATTTGGATCACCTACCATGCTTAACATGGCATAAGCCTGGTGTTAAATGTCCCTTGCTATACGATCGACCCATTGCGAAAACTTGGAATCATGAAAGCCCTTTTCATTAGAAATTCTGCACAACATATATATATATATATATATATATATATATATATAGTACAATATAATAGCTTTGTGACTCGTTGGTACCTTACAAGAGTATGTGACGCATGACTTAGCTCTTGAATTTGTCAGCTTTGCTCTGGAATCATATGACAGGTTGCGCAGGCGCGTTAAAACATAGTTAAACTATTTTTTAGCTCGACCCGTCATGTTAATCATAAGACAAATACCTAAATGGCCTTAAAGTTTGTAATGACACGCGTTGATTCCCCTGCATGTTTTGGGTATTTTGCTCACGCAAATCTGGTATAGAAAGGGAAGGAGGACGTGTCCTTTCCATTCCTCCCTTACAGTGTGGAAGCCGGTGAGACCAACAGAGGTAATGAAGGCAAGATGGAGTGGTCCATGATAACAGTTCTGCAATATTGCTATGGCTGGAATGAGGAAAACACCCTGAGTCTAGACAGGAGTTTGTTACGCCATGAAATGCAGAGCGACATGAGCCTGGTCTCTTTTGGGCTTGTTGGTTCCGCCCACTGCACGGTGCCTCTTTTGGGCTTGTTGGTTCCGCCCACTGCACGGCAAAGTCTCCTGAGGTTCCATCCCAATGCAGTCAAACGATCTTGGCGTGAAGGTGCCGTGCTGTCCATGTCAAAGGCAAAACTTTGCAAAAAAAAACATCGACAGAAAAGCACACGAGTCAAGAAACACGGTAGTCAAAAGCAAATTAAATGCATTTCCCATAATAAAGATTGAAAAACGTTTGAGCCCAGAAAGATGCGCAAAAACCTGCAAATGTTCAGGTCCTGGGTCACTTTTTGCGTGCGGTTTTACTTTGTATTAGCGCTGGGCCGATTACCCCTTTTTCGCCAATGGGGAAACATCCTCTCACTGCCACCAATCCTCGCACCCTAAGTCCTTCAGTTGCGATTACCAAATAGAAGACAGCCGTCCTTTTTCGTCTCTCAGTCGGTCCCCTTCGAAGACCGACTGAGGTCTCCAAAAATTATGCCGAAAACATTTCGCAAATGGCCACAATCTAAACTCGATAACAACTGTCAAGGTCGGACCCTTTTAAACCGACTGAGACACGGGGTGGGGGGGAGGGCAGGAGGCACGCGGCCCGAGCCGGCCGAGGACCGTACCTTGAGGAAGCGGATAGCGCGCTCGTCCGACTCGCTTTCGCGGCGGAGGTGCAGCCTGGGCTGGTCGCTCATGGTGACGCGCCGCGGCCGACTGCCGCCTCTCGTCGCCTCCGACGCGCCAGTCGGCCGTCGGCGCCGTCGAATTCGATGCGCTCACGATTGGTTCGGCCGTGTTCGGGGCCGGGGCTACGCGGTCGCCGAGGCACCCAGCTCGCGAGCTGGCTCTGGGTCTGCACACTGTCCTGCGCTCTCCGGCAGGGGTTACGGTTGACGCACTGCAGTCGACGATGAGTGGAGGGACTGGCCGGGATGCACACAAGAAATATCTAAGCTACAGCCGAGGAACCATTTGCTTCACACACGTGTGTTGTGGTTGTCAGGGCCTTATTTCGTTCGGAATGACGGATAGGAAGTATTTTCCTTGTGAACCTACTGGCCGTTTAAGAAAGATCGTAAGTCCAAGCACTGATGTGGCTACCTAGGCGAATATCCCCAAAAGAACGGTTCTTTGCTATCGTCTTTGCCAGAAAAGTTAATGTGTATCCTGTAATACCCTGCGCAACAGAAAGTGTATGCCGCAAAAGTTTCGCTATTTAACGTGCGCGATTATCAATCCATATGTCTGGGACTACTTGCGATAATTTTCGTCATGTTGTCACATTATCGTACTTTCCAACAGCTGAAATCGTGAACCTTAAAGAAATTCTCAACCACACAGATTGATAGGTTAAATCGGCAAACTCCATTAACAGGAGATTAACAGGAGATAACATTAACAAGAGCCTTTCGTAGAGGACCTATACAGCATGCAAAGCTCTAAAGCCGAAACTAAATCAAGCACACGACGTTCATTTCCAGCAAAATATGTATGATAAAAATGAGGAGCGCGTCTATTTCGTTGTAAATAAACAACAACCATGCATCCGGTATAGCCATGGTAGAGCGGTATAACCGCTCTGTTCAAAAGCGAATGAACGGCGACAATGGTAACTATGCACACTTGCTCTGTGAGAAAGACCAATTTCAGGTTCCAGTTCTGTATGTTCTGAACAGTTAGTCCATATCAAATCATTTGAGACCCATTCCAACGGAGACCTGAGGTTTTTCAAAACCTTAGAATACACACTGGCCACGTAAAACAATCTGCTCGCCCAGAGCGGCATAGAGAACACACGATCCTCGTGTATGCGCAGTGTTCAAAGAGAGTGTTCCACATCTGAGTGGGGTTTTTAACTGATATAGGTCTTTGAAGATCATTCGGTGCAGTTCGCAGCCCTGCCCTTCTTAAGGCCTAAACCCCTCTAGTTTCTGAGCTACATGACGTGAACATGGTGGGCTATTCCGCGAACGCTATTTCGAGGTCGCCCAGGCGTCCATGAAGATATCATGCAGTCATTCGAATCCTGCCATTTCATTGGTTATGCGGCGATCAAAGTCAAGAAAAATACGATTGTAGAGCCGTTCACATGTGGCGTTCGTGAGCGCGATTTCCGGACATAACAGCCGTCAGTTGGCCCTCAATCAATACTGTGCAAGGTACGATGTCGCAATCAAGCAATGACGTAATGAGAAACATTCTTACCAAATAGAGAAATCGTGTTGTCTAAAGCAGTTTTTTTTCTACTTTAAAGTATATCAAAAGTTATGACTGAGTTTATATCATCACATCTGATGCTTGCTTCAATCCTTTCAAATATGCAACATTCCCTTTAACGTCAAACAAATAGCGCTGACATGTATACGCAACATATCCTGTTATAGCCACCTCCGAAACGTAACAAGCAGCAACTAATTAATCGCGCTAGAAGGATTTTGCGCCGAGGCGCGAAGACTATGGACTGTCCTCGTACGCAGCTGATGATGCCCTTCGCGCAATAGACCAGCCGTTCGATCGCTGCGCTGTGATCATTTATTCCCAGCACTCTACTCGGCTGCATTGCATGCTTTCCAACAATATGGCCTTTCTGTTACAGTCTAGTGCCAATCTGGCTAGCACTAGGCAACCAGTTAATGTAGAACGTGCTGCACTCGATGCCCGAACAATGCTGAACGCGGCATAGTCTGTCCCACAGCGGACCTAATGGACGCGTCCGACGCTGAGCTAATACAGACAGCACGTCACTACGTCACTGAGTCAACATGATGCAGGCTATATACTGCTTCAATCACTGTCCCTGTGCAGAGCATATTCCGACCCGTTACTGAGGTACTGTACTGAGCCAATAAAGCCCATATGTCGGGCTGTCACTGAGCAAATATAGGCCGTACGTCCGGCACGAAACCAACGCAGGCCTCATGACAGTCCGCTGCAGGGCCATGACAGACCATACCTCAGTCCATCGCTGAGGCAGTAAAAATCGTACGAAGCCCAGTTACTGGTCACATAAACCACGTCAGTTAGTTGGCCACTGAACCGATGAAGATGTGCTGCCCTTTTGCCGGATCCGCGCAAACGATCTCTGTGTCACTGAACCAACGAGGCCATGCGTCAGCCCGTTACAGCTGTGCTGAAGACCACGTATAGACTGTCACAAAAGCAGTACAGTCAATGTACCGATCCGCCGACAACGGCCCATACAGACCGTATTTCAGTAGCTCACTTGACCAGCGCGGGCCGTTTGTGGGCTGCCATCGTCACCTGCCCTCGGCGGAATCGATCGACCGCGGCAGAGCTCGGCCATGATACCACGTGACCGGTTGGCAGCCAATCAAGGCTGCAATTTCTGCGGTGTCTTAGTCTCACAGCACCAATAAGTCGGTCTTCTGAGAATCCTGGAGCGCGTGGTCGAGGCCAGTGTTCAGAATCGCAGAACGAAGGCTCGGTGGCTACGTCGCGAACCGATTCGAACCTAGCCACCGCGTATGGACCTGACCACGTTCCCCCCTCGAATTCGGATTCGGATTTGGACTCGGAACCATGATCAAGTTCATTCCAATGGTTCGTAGTGTATATAATCAGTAACTGATTCATTTGGCAGCTGAATTAGATCTGGTTTCGCATTGACCAGTTTGAAAACGTGCGATCCGATCCAATTTAGGCTCAAGACACTAGGTATTGGCTTCAGGCTGGCACTTTATGTGCTCTCATGTTATTTCATCTGTTTTGCCTTGCGAATGTAGTAGGACGTTGCACCCAAAATTATACTGGGTGCTTACCATTGCACTTGAGCCGCAGCTGTGGGCAGTACTTGCGTAGGAAGGCTAGTAAGGTGTTTATAATGCCTACACAACATGTGATGCCTGGTTTAGCCAAACATTGTGCACTATTTGCAGCAGAACAAAATTTGCACCATGCCTTTGAACATCAAGTCAAGAACAAAAATCAGAATTTGGCCAATATGGCTCATTGCACCTCAGTATTTGCTGATATCTGCTTAATATTTTATTGAATGATTTTCGACGCAGCTGAGCTACAGCTGTGAGAAATGGAAGCTTGCTAAAATACGTAGAATGTCCTGTTCAAAATGCGATGGCTGGTCTATCCAAAATATTTCAGACTTATAAAAGCAGAACAAAATCTGCGTGATGCATCTACAAATTACTTCAAAGACGAAAACAATCGGAATCAGTCATTGTGCATATTCATCAATCATTTTTGTTTATTTTCCTTAATTTTTTTTATCGCCAGCAGAACAGTACTCCACGAACAGGCGAAGTCGTTTAACTAAAATGCAATGCAGCCACAACAGTGAAAACAATGCGCTGTTTTTGTACCTTTTAAGTCTCATTTGTGCAATTAAGATGTTAAATACCTACATGTACCGTGTGTTTTTACATACAGAGATGAAAAACTGGAGAGGTTCGGCTAAAATGATTAAAAATAGCAATTAGCGTGGGACACGAGTGTAGAGTGTAGGAATAGGAAACATCACTATTTTGTATCACGGATGTAATATTAGTTCGCACAAACGCTTTCGTTTGGTATATGAGTTACACCGGTGTGTTGATGCTACAACATTTTGCGCTCTTTCCATCATAGAAAACCCAAAAACGATTTCCTGAAATAAATAAGCTACTTGCATACTAACTTTATTCATTTTGCTTTGAGAGAACAGCGGGACAATTTTGCTCATCACGCCACATATCTCTCGGATCAATATCAACTGCACTTGATGCACAAGTGTGGCTCGATACTGCGTAAGAAGCTCACCATGATGTTAACAATGCCCTGCTTAAAATTGTATTCTTGATTTAACCAAAATATTGCATAATTAGAGAGAAACGCAGCCTTCGTTGAAGCATTGTGTCAAACACAACAACCAGAAGTTGTTATTGGAAAGTAGTACAAATCATTGATGGCCTGCAAGCAGTAAAGAACAAATATGCTGTTTTCACGTATTTTTATCATTGGTACCAACTAAATATTCCTTACCTGTTCTTACTTTGTGTTGTGGTATGTTCTGCAAGTGAAATACTAGAACGGCACGGATAGGACGATGAAGAACAGCAAAGCTTGTGATGGACGAGTGTAGGAATTCGAAACATCATTATGTTGCGTGCTGCCACCAGGGCGAAACCAAAAAATGGCATGCCGAATTGGGCTTGAAACTATGTGCACTTGGCTTATTACTTTTTCATTTTGTCGTGCAAGTAGCGTGTGCCAATATGCTCATTGCATCAAAAATAGTACAGGATGATTATCAACGCCCCTAAGCTATAGGTGCGGGGACTGGGAGACGCGTAGGACATTTACCAAGATGCCTGCAATGTTCCACTCAAGATGTGAGTGCTGACTTCCCAAAATATTGCATAGTAATTACGAAACTACAACATATGCACCGCGCGTTGACACAACTAGCCAGAAACCCAGATGCATCAACATGTTTTCAACATACACTTTTCATAGTATCCAAGTAGTCAAGGAATATTATGTTTCTGTGTATGCCTTTTGTGTTATTGATACCAACACAACATTCACAACCTACGTTTGTGTTGTTTTTCTTCAACTCTGGAAGTTAAAAGATGCTCAAGTTGAGCTGTTGTCATGGAGAACAACAATAATTGTGAAAAATGAGTGCAGTGCTCACAACAATTACTGTGCTGTGCCCTACTTAAGGAATTTAGTATTCACACTA